TGTTCAATTTATATGTTAATGACATACAAGAGCGATTATATGAAGGTTGTACTTTAGTTCAACATGCTGACGACTGTATGGTTTTTTCCTCTTCTCTAATTTCTGAGGATGCTTTGAATTGATTGCAAAAATCACTCAATAATCAAACGGAATTTTTTGCAGAGAACCAATTGAATCTGAATGCATCTAAATTGGAATTTATAACATTTTGTCAAAAAAATGATAGCAAAAATGTAGATACTGATACAATATTAATTAATGGGCATTATGTAGCCAAAAAATCAGAATGCAAATATTTAGGCCTTATTCTTGATTCAAGTTTATCTTTTCATGCTCAAATCAAAACAATTCTCCAAAAAATTTCACAAGGAATTAAAACTATAGATACAATTGGACAACAACTGCCGGCATTATCATTAGTTGCCTTGCTTCATTGTCTTGTTTTATCACATTTTGTAACATTCGCCCAAATACTACACAGCGACGGAGCGTAGAAAAAGTACCTATTAACGACTGGCAGGCGTCAGTTACCTTAATCCTACTCGTTTTTCACCGTCTCGACCTTGCCAGTTGATTTTCTGGTCTGTTTAGGGCAAAGTAAAAAGTTACCATTTTTAGGCCATCAGTCAAACGACTTTTGATCAGCTTTCGTTTACATGCGAACACAACCACATAGCTGAGTCTCGGATCCTCATTAAAAACACGGCTCGAACAACCTATTTTAACATGCTTTTGTGTGACAGTTCTATATTAAATCCATTGGAGATGGATTGACCCTTTCCTCTTTCTAGCTACTCATACTCTGAAATATTAAACAATAACGGTGTTAATTAAGATCTATGACATTACAGCAGCTATAAAGTTGGTTTACACAGTCCCTTCACATAGAACAGTCTCTGGGGGACCAAGCCTCCGCTCCCGTAATATTCCTGAGATAACGCTCTTATCTCTTATAATTCGTGTCCCGGGAGGGTTGCGTGGTGTATTTCTTCCCCCACTCAAGCCTCCTTCTCCACCAATATCTGTTAACAAGTGTCTTATCGTGCGTTGTTGCCACGATAAGAGGCTTCGTGTTTTCCGTCTCTGGTACGACTGTTTTTCACAATATCTGTCGTTGTTCTGAATCTCGTCACAATTTCAGTCAAAATGGCCGTTTTTCGTATTTCTGAGAAATACTCTTCTTCCAATCGAAATTTTAAAAATAAAAATTCTAGAATATTCCGACCCTCCTTCGCAATACTTTTTCATCAATAAGGCCTTTAGTCGTTCTTTTTTACGTCGCCGGAAAGTTGTGCTGTGTCATCTGGCAGAATGGCACATTTAGATTATTCAGCAAAATTTTTAATACAAATTAATGCTACTTTGATGCTATCTCTAGAGAGACAGTTGAACTGGGCGTTAAAAAGAACATATTTCAGATCGAAATTTAAATCTTCTTCCCTTCTTCGCATTAGCAAATCGTTCAAGGGGATCGAACTACGTAGCTACTCCCTATATAAAAGCTTTTTGCCTATCGGAAAAGCTCGGATATCCGAAAATTTGGGGGTCTACAGTTTGGTCGAAAATCGGTAATTTTCGACAAAAAAATGGGTGTTTCTTGGGTCTAAATAGGAGATAAGTTTTAATGAAATAGTACCAGAACGATACTAAAATTGCTTCAACGATACCCAACAGTCGTTGCGGATGTTGTCCCTGATGTCCCTGTTGAGTCTGGAACACGTCGGTCAGCTTGCCACTCTACCCTCCGGTCACCGGCAAAATCACCATTAACGTGCTTAAACACTCAAATTACACTCGAGGGAGGGTATCTAACCCTTCACCAAAACACACAATCTTTCTATCAGAAACGATAAAAATCAATCTGAAACAACAACAAATAGGAAGGTCAGATCACATCTCGTCCGGAAATAACATATAAACTGTCACTTTACATTTTTTTACTGTTTTTGGTCTTTCTTGGATTTTTTTTTTTTTTTACTGTTTTTTGTACTTTTTTGTTTTTAAATAAATTTAGTTTTGGCTTTTTCTTGGTTATACACTATTTTTGTTTGGTTTTACACTTTCTCTTTAATTGTTTTTGGTCCTGGGGCCTCAGGACAAGTGGGCTCTAGATTTCCCACCTAACCCTCCGGCCCCCGGAATTTTCGGTGTTAACTATGTTAAAAAGCTAAATTGTACTAGACGGAGGGTACGCACCTTCCCCCTAGTACAACAACGGTCATTAAGGCCTCTAACTCGGGCATACGCCCGGAGCGGAGGGTACGTCGCTGAAACGCCTGCTGATCATGATGGTTTCATGCCTTTAACAGGCCCACCCAAGAGCGCCATAAAAAAGTCTATGTAACATTCGCCCAAATACTACACAGCGACGGAGCGTAGAAAAAGTACCTATTAACGACTGGCAGGCGTCAGTTACCTTAATCCTACTCGTTTTTCACCGTCTCGACCTTGCCAGTTGATTTTCTGGTCTGTTTAGGGCAAAGTAAAAAGTTACCATTTTTAGGCCATCAGTCAAACGACTTTTGATCAGCTTTCGTTTACATGCGAACACAACCACATAGCTGAGTCTCGGATCCTCAGACTACGTGATTGTCATTAAAAACACGGCTCGAAAAACCTATTTTAACATGCTTTTGTGTAACAGTTCTATATTAAATCCATTGGAGATTGATTGACCCTTTCCTCTTTCTAGCTACTCATACTCTGAAATATTAAACAATAACGGTGTTAATTAAGATCTATGACATTACAGCAGCTATAAAGTTGGTTTACACAGTCCCTTCACATAGAACAGTCTCTGGGGGACCAAGCCTCCGCTCCCGTAATATTCCTGAGATAACGCTCTTATCTCTTATAATTCGTGTCCCGGGAGGGTTCCGTGGTGTATTTCTTCCCCCACTCAAGCCTCCTTCTCCACCAATATCTGTTAACAAGTGTCTTATCGTGCGTTGTTGCCACGATCAGAGGCTTCGTGTTTTCCGTCTCTGGTACGACTGTTTTTCACAATATCTGTCGTTGTTCTGAATCTCGTCACAATTTCAGTCAAAATGGCCGTTTTTCGTATTTCTGAGAAATACTCTTCTTCCAATCGAAATTTTAAAAATAAAAATTCTAGAATATTCCGACCCTCCTTCGCAATACTTTTTCATCAATAAGGCCTTTAGTCGTTCTTTTTTACGTCGCCGGAAAGTTGTGCTGTGTCATCTGGCAGAATGGCACATTTAGATTATTCAGCAAAATTTTTAATACAAATTAATGCTACTTTGATGCTATCTCTAGAGAGACAGTTGAACTGGGCGTTAAAAAGAACATATTTCAGATCGAAATTTAAATCTTCTTCCCTTCTTCGCATTAGCAAATCGTTCATTGGAATCGAGAAAAGAATTGAGCTAAAGTGTATAACATACTTATACCAATATCTTACAAATAAAAAGAAGGCTTTTCAAAATACATTGAGACTACCGACTGCCAATTATAGGCTCAACAAAAGAACGAAAAAAATTATTTTTGACAAACATTGTTCAACCGCTTCTCTACAAAAATCATTTTTTCATTTGACTTCTAAAAAATGGAATTCACTGCCCATAATTTTGCGCAATTTAGAAAAATCGAGAACAGGATTCAAGAAAAAATTGAAAGAATTTTACGTGAGTGAATTGAGAAACAGTCCAATATGTACAAATACAAATACGTGGCGTGATTTCCGTTTTTGCTAGTTCTATATGTTTTATTTTAGTTTAATTTTTCACACATTGTTTGAAAGAGAATCTGTATATACTCTGTATATACGCTGTATGTTTGGACTATCTGTAAAATTGTTTGTAAAGTTTTAATACCAGCTCGTTCTTAATTCTTAAAACTGATGTTTTTTTAGTATCCGTAACTTCATATATTTTAATCAACCAATTTCTGAACTGTAACCGAACTTGTTTTGTTTTGTTTTGTTTATTGCTTGTTTTCTGATGTTGTGTTTTTGTTTGATGTAACCAATGAATTTTAACAACTTTATTATTTACACTTTGCTATACTGATGCCTCGGCTTTTATTGTATAGTAAGTCAGGTGTTCTTTCTTCTTCTTCATTTCTAAAATTGCTCTTCCTATGTAAACATACTGACCAAGTTCATTTACCATACAGGTCTCACGTTGGAATATGCGGCTCTGAATTATGTCTTCTGGCAATTGGAGAATTAATTTCGCTGCGATATAGTTGCATACACAAGGCAAATTCGACAATTTGATTTTTGCTAGTTTAGGGTGATTGTTCTTGGGTCTATGAGCCCTTGGAAAGCATCCCATGGGAAATACCGTCCTGTTAAGTAGAATGATTCCTTCGCTTTCGATGCTTGTTATGAATTGCTCTGCTTCGGGGGGAGCAATAATTGTCAGTGTATGAAGTTTGCGGTCATCTTTTGTCACAGTTATTGTTTTTGAGATTGTCATCTTCTGTTGCATTGTTGCGGGGAATTGTTTCAGTATATCAGAAGCACAACTTCGATATGCCTGCGCCAGATTTTCAGCTGACTTTACAATTTCTCTCGAGATCGGGGGAATGATTTTGATTATTTGGATTTGTTTTGTTTCTGCCGTCGATTTGTTTGCTGTTAGCGCATTTCTGAATTTTGTCTCCGTCAGCACTTCATTAGTAATTGGTAGCTGAGATTCCGTCCGTTGTTGTTGACTCATGACGTGGTTTAACTCTCGTGGGGGCACAAAAAAGCCTTCACCCGGAGATTTACTTTAAAAAAAATAGATTTTTCTCTTTCAAAATGTAGAAATCAGAAGGCAAAAACATCAACTACATTGCACGTGTGAAAAAAAAAATTTTGCCAAAAAAGTAGTTTACGAAAAAAATATTTGTTGAATTTTTTTTATCATGAATTCGAATCACGCAAAAGCAAGAAAGCTTGTTCGTTTTGAGATTGATCGCCCTCATTTGGCGTTTTATTCAAAAATTAAATGGACAATATTTTATTAATAATTTTGAACTTACTAATTGATTTATCAGTTACTCAACTTTAATTTTTACATCTGAAAAATTAAAACCCACCATGTAGAGATTTTTACCTGGCTGAAAAAGCATTTATCAAATGCTTCATCTAATAGCTTTTTTCCTTGTGTTTATTGCTCCTGGTGGAGGTGTCCTGGAGTCCAGCGAGCCGCAATTTCAACATCCCATATATCACCTTCGAATTCAGGAAAATGCCGGACCCAAAACTTATTGTAAAGGCGACAGAAAAATTGAACTGAACATTCAAAATTATCAAGAAGTACATTTCAAACTGGTTGAGGAAGAAGTGCATGGTGGATCGGAAATTTTCAAGGTGGAGGAGCAATTTATTGGAACATACGTCTGCGCTTTAATAAGAACGAAAGGCGGGACCACTAGCTCAAGCTCACTTAACAGAGAACGGACTAGTTCATATGTTTTTTCACTTCAAGCGATCCTCAGATCAAGTCACCAGGAAATTGTCAAGACCACAAAGATTTTTATCAATGTTCTTGATGTTGATGATCATCCACCTTATTTTCTGAATCATAATTTTCACGTTAATTTATATGAAAGTACTGAAGTGGGGAGCTCAGTTTTTAAAATTAGTGCAGTTGATTCCGATGAAGGGAGAAATGGCGAATTGTTTTTCACGATTGTTGACCCCATTGAGAATAATTTTTTCTTGGACCCGCACTCTGGTGAGGTTAAATTGGTTCGACCACTTTCATTCAAACGAGAACCAGATTTGAATCTCAAGGTGATAATTGACGACAGAGGACAGAAAAATTACCCCGGAGCTTCACATACCAGTTCAAGGGAAACTATTCATTTTCACGTCCAGCAAAACAACACTGAAGCACCCACAATTACTCTTACTCATCTGCCTGCTGTTATAGAACATGGCTTGAAAGGAAGCCTATATGCTATTCTGAAAGTGAACGATAATGACAGGGGAGTAAACGGAGAGATTCGGAATGTTAGGATCTATTCAGGTGACCCGATGGGTCATTTTGAACTAATTCAAAGTCAAAACGATCCGAATTTTTGGGATTTAAAAATTGCGCATTCATTGGACAGAGAAGATATGCCGGATGGTTACAACCTAACAGTTGAGGCAACGGATGCTGGAAGCCCAGCGCGCTACACTTTGTACAACCTCCCTGTCCACGTCATAGATACAAATGACAATAAGCCAATTTTTCAAAGTGACTTAAGCCACAAGTGCAAGGAAGTGCTTCCGCCCTTCACTCCATTATTCAAAGTTATCGCATATGACAAAGATATTGGACAGAATTCTAAAATCAAGTACGATATTTTATCAGGAAACGATGAAAATATGTTTTGGTTGAATCCAGATAACGGGTGGCTTTTTAAATCAGCTCCTCTATGGCATCATTTAGACTGGAAGTATTATCTTAATATTAGCGCTACAGATCAAGCCAACTTTGGTTCGCAAAAATCTGAAATCGCTATTTTTTCTATCAATGTAATTGACGAAAACAATCATGCTCCTGTAACCACAAAGACTTCTTTCTCGATAGATGAATCAGTGACTGCTGGGTCAATAATAGGTTCTCTGACATCCGGTGACAGCGATGTACATAGAACATCTGATACATCTCGTTTCTTCTACAAAATGCTCGGAAGCTATCAGGAAAACAACATACCATTTTACTTATATCCAAATGGCTCGATAGCAGCCATACGAGAAATAGACTTTGAAACTATGCCGAATTTATACGAGTTTTATGTTCGCATTGAAGATAAAGGTATTCCATTTTCAAGAGCCTCAGACGAATTAATTTCCATTCTAATTTACAACACTAATGACGAAAAACCCCTGATGAAAGATAAATCATGCAAAGTTAAGATCCCATTCGATATTGAAGCTACCACTCTTGTTAATGTTGAAGCTGTTGATCCCGATGGAACGCCTGTAAGCTACAAAATTATAAAGGGAAACGAAGACCAAATTTTCGAAATTAATTCCATAAACGGTCTTTTCGGCCTGTCGCCTAAATGGAACGATTATCGCCTCACTGAAGTAACTAAATATCAAGTCTTAGTCGTTGCATCTGACGATTTATTTGATTCTGAGCCGCTCTTAATCGACATTGAGGTCAATTTGGAAGCTGGATCCTATCTTCATTGCGAAGATTCAAACGCTGAATCAAAAGTTGAAGAAATGAAGAAAGCGAAACAGAAAGAAACAAAAATGCGCGACAGTTACATGTCTTCACCATTCGAGCCATGTTGCGAAAACAAGAACAAACCTCGAATCGAAATGGTTGACAAGAAAAAGTTTTTTGAAGTAATGGAAAATATTCCCATTGGAACAACCGTGCTTTCTTTTCACATGTCAGAATTTATTCCTTCGGGCGCCGATGGTGATGAAGGGTTTGCATCTATGCTTACGTCTTCGATAAGCAGTGGAAACGAAGATGCGTGTTTCACAGTTGACTTCGACAACTCAATAACCTACTCGGATCCTAATCCGACAACCTTTGTGCGCGTGAAGACTCTGTCACCGCTGGACCGCGAGGTTAAAGATTCTTATAATCTTACCTTGACTGCCTTCGATCTGTCACCACCATATCACAATTACTCAGTTTCAGTTACAATTAGAATTTTAGATGAGAATGACAACTACCCAAAGTTTTTATTCTCGGGAAATCAGCAACTCAGTTATGTTGCTGCAATCAAAGAAAATGTTTATCAAAATGAGCCGATTTTGCAAGTCAAAACTGTTGACGACGATTTGGGTGACAATTCAAGAGTTTCATACAGCCTGCCGATTAAGAACGATTTTTTTTCTGTTGATAAAGACAGTGGTAATTTGTACCAGCTCCAAGCTCTTGACCGTGAAATGAAAAGCTATCATGTTTTCAAAATAGAAGCGGTGGACCATGGAACGCCTAGTTTGAAATCTCACGCAGTCATCAACATTACAGTAAGGGATGTTAACGACAATCCACCTAAATTTTACTCTGACTACTACAAGTTACGAATCCCGGAAGATTATCCCATTAATGCTTTTATTGTCCAAGTGAAGGCCGTTGATATTGATTTAGACAGTGAAGTTTCCTATTCATTCGGTTTTGGGGACCATCATATGTTAAGGCTTGACAGCGAAACTGGAGTGATTCTTCTTGCCAGAAGCCTGGACTATGAAACCCAGAAAGTGCTGAATCTTTCGGTTATTGCTCGAGATTCTGCCACGGAACCTTTGTCAGCATCTGCCAATGTTGTCATCGAAATTACTGACGTCGATGAAAATGTTTACGCTCCTGAGTTTCAAAACGAGTCCCAATATGTGTTAGCGAAGATTCCAGAAAACAGACCATCGGGGTCTTTAGTTACGCGTGTGTTTGCTGTAGATTACGATGAGGGCGTTGATGGACAGGTGCGATATGCAATTGTGGGCGGAGACGGACACGGCAGATTTTCCCTAAACCCGATTACAGGTAAGTTAAATTAGAAAAATTCATCTTATGATTTATTATCTTCGGAAGTGTTTATTCGTGTTACGATTGCGTAAATTTCAAAATCAAATTGTTAGGATTGAGAAAAACAACGCATACCCATTTTTAAAGCTTCTTTGAGTTTTGAATAGTTACCATCTTTGTTTCTATTGAGATAAGGACCAAGGTTTGTATGAGGACCAAAATTTTGTAACGAAATTATAAAGTGGAGTCAAGACTGCTCAAATCTCTTTAAATTGTTTAAAGTAGTTTTTGGTTTCATTGCGCCTACAAATAGCAATCATTATCTAATTGAAACATAGAAAGCACGTTGCTGTGGAAATAGCTCAGAATTTTCTCACCGTATTCTTTAAAAAAATAATAAAAAAGTTTTCCTTTTCAAATTAGAGTCGTTTTCTGTGTATAGTGTGATAAAATGATCACAACGAAAGCCTAGAACTTAGGCATATTTGACTGTCATAGTAACATAGGAATACTGGACAACAGTTTTTTTCTGAAAATGAAAAAAAAAATAACCAAGATGCCGCTACAAAAAACTTCGAAAACTAATTTTACTTAAGTAAAACTGAATTTTCAGGGCTTCAATAAAATTTTCACGGTTTATCCTTCAATAATAAGCCTGCGCCATTGCTTTACTCACTGGAAATTGAACTGAAGCTCAAAAAAGTGTAAACTAGTTTTTCTCGACACTGGGATAACTTGCTTGTGTTTTTAACTTTGCGATAATCAAGGGTATTGCAATCGCGTACTAGACTTTTCCACCGTAAACAAAATTGTTCACAGAAGTCGCCTCCTAGAGCACGGACTCACTCGTATACTTCCTTTATTATAAATTCAATGAACCACCTGGCGCATCTGGCGTAAAGGTAACACGCCTGATCGAAAAAGCAAAGGCTTGTAGTTTGAATCCGACCGGAACCTTTTTTCAACCAAATTTGGTGCTTTTTCAGACTACCGTCCGTCTGTTTTTTTTGTCTGCTTAATTCCCGCAGCACAGTTTTTTGAACAGCTTTCTTCTATGTTACTTTCACACCCATCCTTCACGACAAATCCCGGGAGTTCGATTCCCATATCTGCTACGAATTGACTAAAGTTTCCATGCTGTTTGCCTCAAAACCGGGAAATTTTCAATATCCTAGCTCGAATAAACTCTAAAAGGGTTTCATTAGGGCTTATCGCTTTACCTTATATGTCATTTTTGATTATAGAACCTCATTTTGATTGGAAACTTATAAAATTGCATAGAAACTTCCTTTCCACTATTCTTTTGTCCCATAAAACAGTCAAAATTGATAATTTTTCTCAGCTTTGCCTATATCTGAGTAATCTCAAATCTCCGAAAAACAGTCTTCGGCCACACTTTTGTATGCCATTTTGAGGGTATTGATGACTTAAGAAAAACTTATTTCTCGAGTATCAAAAAATTAGATAGAATTAAGCATCATCGATGATCTTTTTTTTGATAAATGAAGGGATAGACGAAGGCATATTTTAAAGTATTCTCATTGTTTGCCCTGGGTTTTCGAATTTCAAACAAAAATTATACTTGCCAAAATTTTAAGATATATAATGTGAAGTTTTTTTATTGCGAGATATAATATAATTTAATGACACATCGTAACAGAAAATACGAGAGTTAAAGTAACCCGGATTATTTATGCTTGTGGTGACGGATTATTTATGCTTGTGGTGATTTTTTTTATTCAAACGGATTAGTTATGCTTGTGGTGATTTTTTATTCAGTCGCTTTTCGAATTTCTAACAATCATATTTTGACGGAAATTTTGTATACCATCTATGAAATATTGTTACTCGTAGCTTAAATGCAAATTTTTTTTTACCTGTGATCATTTTTCGTAAAGTTATGGGTGTTTGAAAAACGCTAATTTGACCAATTTAGGATAATTAACTTGAGAAATGTTACGTTCTTATAACACGCGAAAGCAACGGATAAACGGGCAAAGTGAATTGAGGCAAACTATTCGGTCCTTTGATTAGGACAGACGCAAAATGTATTCCTTTTTAGTTCACATTAGCGTGTAGGGAATACATTAAGAAAAAAAATAAACTTTTTCTTTTTTTACAACTTAATTAGTCAGTTTTTGAACAAAAAAGCTTTGAATTGGCCTTTATGTGCAGTTGGAACATTCAGGGCTTCGCCCTGATATACGAGCAGTCTTGTTGCTCCGACTTTTGAAGAAAGTGAGGAATATATATGCTCGGGTTGATTTTTTCAAAAATGTCTCTCTCGGGTGATGGATCCTTGGACCTTCCTGGGCCACGCCGCATTCGCTCACCACTATAATAACCTGAACGGAGTCTATCGAAACTTTTGTTCTTTGATGTTGAAAATGTAGCGCGCTTTATTTACGCGTCTCGGGTTATCCCGCACCACAAAAGCGTACCAAATTGTAATGAGGCAAGCTAATTGGTGTTGTTAATTCCATACACGACTGAAATTTTAATGCATCAAATTTGAAATTATCAGCCTAAAATCCATAGCTTGTCAATTTTTCGTGAACGAAAAACTATTCGATACCAGTTAACGGCCAGTCAGAGCATTCAGGGGTTTGCCCTGATACGGGAAGTCTTGTTTATTCGATGCTAGTTAATTGCTTTTTTTGCTTGTGTACGCGAAGCGCTGCTTTATCTCCATCTAAAATATTTTAGTTTTTTTTTGCTACTTCTTTAGGCGAAGTCTAGCCTCATCTGTTTTAAATTTTGTGGACTGTCAATTTCGTGCTGCGCCGCCCTAAAACAGACTTCAATTACAGCTTAAATTTAGCTGATAGCAATAATAGCTACTCAATGGTGAGGTTATTTTATGAAATCCCAAATTCAATCTTTTTCTTTAGTCAATATAATGCAACTAGCAGGAAATTGACAGCTGATCGAGTGTCATAAATACAGGAAATTGATAGACTAAAATGACACAGCCGAATGTTATGTGTCGTCTTCTTATTTCTTTTCCACCTTAGGTCTAAGATCTAAGTTGAGGTTGTCAGCAATGGGATTTGCTGTTTTTTCTATGGTCTGTTGATTGCAATTTCCTTTTGAAATGGCAAGAGCAAACTAAGAAAACCAATGGGCTCAAATAGCTTTTAATTTGTGACAAACTGAATGAGAACTTTAAAGAAACAGAGCAAACAACTCTAAGTTACGTTGTCTTGTTTTGTAGTTTTTCCCTATCGCAGTAACTTTTTTTGCATTAATGGATCCCGGTAAAAGCACTCAAACAGAAGTCACACTAGAAAGAGAAAATTTTTTTTCAAAGAGTTATTTGACCTCTCAAGGATTATTTATTCGTAAGTGCACCTGATCTGAGCGCTGTATTTTGACTGAATGCAGCCTGTGAAAACAATGAGTCCCAATAAAAATGTTTTTCAGTGCAATACTTGAATTATTTTTTATGAAACAACGGAGCGCGGTTGTCCCAATAATTACTAATGTTCTCAGCTCAAATTAGACCAAGCGTAAATAAGTGAGAAAGCAATCATCACACCATTATGACATTGTTATTATTTTGATTAAAACTTGGAGCTTGAATATATGGATCTATCGAAATTTGTTTAAAAAATGGCAAATGTAAAAATTTCCGTGAATGTATCTTCTAATTAAAGATAACTCGTTGCATTTGTATTTGAAATTTCTTTTTTTTAAACATTTTAACTTATTTGGAGATGTTTTTTCAGTTCAAATCAATTTCTTGCGAATTCATTTTTAGCGCAGGTCTTGGGCGTTTGAACCACTGATCTCTTGTTTACTAGACAGTCACTTTAACCCCTAAGCCTCAAGACCTGTCAGGTTTCTTTGTTCCATTATGAAAATATGCATAACTTTCTTCAAAGTGCGTTGTTCGTTTGAAGCTGAGGGTGCTTGAATTATAGTTTTTTTTTCATTCCCAGAAAACGAATAGAATTTTCAATACCTTTGAAATTGGTAGATTTTTTCCTTCCAGAAATGAAATGATTCTTTTATTTTGGTAATTGTGTTCTAGCGGAGGTCTTGGGCGGCTTTGAACCACCTTCTCCTGTTTACCAGACAGGCGCTTTAACCTCTAGGCCAAAAAACCTGGCAGGTTTCTTTTTCCTCATGAAATTATCCGTATATATTTTGTCACTTATGATGTGTTTCTCATCAGGCTGAATTTGCTCGACTTACAGTTTTTTCAATCCCAGAAAATCAACAAAAATTTTAACACCTTTGAAACCGCTAGTCTAGGGCTTGAACCGCTGAGCCACAAAATTGTCAAGTTCTTTTTTTCTGTATAAAGTTATGCCTAATGTTCCAAATACGTATGTCCATTCCCAGAATTCGAGTAGAATTTTCAATACCTTTGAAATTGCTCGATTCTCTTCTTCCCAGGAATAGAAATGGTTCTATCTCCTGCAAATTGATTTCTAGCGCCCGTTTTCCAGAGAAGCGCTTTTACATCTAAACCACAAGATCTGCCAGCTTCCTTGTTTCATTAGAAAATGATCAGTATATTTGTTTAAATTACGTGTTTCATTTCAGGCTGAATTTGGTTGACTTATAATATTGTTTCATCCCCAGACAAGGAAGGAAAAATCAAATTTTTGAAATTGCTAGAAATTTGTCTTTCCAGAAATAAAATGAGTTTATTTCCTGCGAATTGGTTTCTAGCCTTGTTCTTTGGTGGATTTGAACCACCGATCTACTGTTCACAAGACAGCCGTTGTAACCGCCAGGCCACAAGGTTTGTCAGGTTCATTTTTTCAACCCAATGTTCCAAGCAGGTATCTGATGTGAATCTGAAATTGCTTAACTTATTTTTTTTTCATTACCAGAAATAGAATGGAAGTTTCAATACCTTAGAAATTGCTAGATTTTTTTCGCAGGAATAAAATGGTTACATTTTCTGCCAGTTAATTTGTGGTGCAGCTTTTGGGCGGCTTTGAACCACCTTCTCCAGTTTACTAGACAGGCGCTTTAACACTTAGACCAAAATATCTGCCAAGTTG